CAGACCCCGCCCCACAGACCCCACAGGCCCCACTCACGAATCGCGAGGAGTTGTCGTTGCGCACGGTCTTGGCATTGCCAAAAGCCTCCAGCGCGGGGTTGGCCTGGATGATTTGATCCTCCAGGGTCCCCTGGGGGTGGAGGTGACACCAGGGGTGGGGTGGGGTCAGAAGACCCTCCCCCACCTCGCGAGAGGGGCGTGGCCACGACCCCGCCCTACCTTGTTGCTATTGGTCGCCTCCTTCTTGCGGTCGCCGATGGCGGCGATGCTGGCGAAGTATTGGATGACGCGTTTGGTGTTCACCGTTTTCCCCGCCCCCGATTCGCCGCTGTGAGGTCACCGTGAGGTCACCAAGGTCACCGTGAGGTCACCGAGGTCACCACGGGGGTCTGGTCCCACCCCACACTTGTGGGGCGGCGTCGGGGACTCACGTGATGAGGATGGATTGGTTCTCGCGGTCTGTGGGGGGACAGAGGGGTGAGGAGGGGTCTCAGGTGTCTTCAGCCCCCCCAAAAGGTGAGGAAGGGTCTCGGGGGTCTTCAACCCTTCTCAAGGGGGCTTCAGATAAATTGGGGCAAGGTTGGGGGTCTTGGTGAGGGTTGGGGGTCTCCACCTTCTCAGGTGGGACAAAGCTGAAGGAGATATTTGGGTTCTCCAAAGCTGAGGGAGATGTTTGGGGTCCCCAAAGCTGAGGGACATGTTTGGGGTCTCCAAAGCTGAGGGACATGTTTGGGGGTCTCCAAAGCTGAGGGAGATGTTTGGGGTCTCCAAAGCTGAGGGAGATGTTTGGGGTCTCCAAAGCTGAGGGAGATGTTTGGGGTCTCCACATTCTCAGGTGGGACAAAGCTGAAGGAGATGTTTGGGATCTCCAAAGCTGAAGGAGATGTTTGGGGTCTCCAAAGCTGAAGGAGATGTTTGGGGGTCTCCAAAGCTGAGGGAGATGTTTGGGTTCTCCAAAGCTGAGGGAGATGTTTGGGGTCTCCAAAGCTGAGGGAGATGTTTGGGGGTCTCCAAAGCTCAGGGAGATGTTTGGGGTCTCCAAAGCTCAGGGAGATGTTTGGGGTCTCCAATGCTGAGGGAGATGTTTGGGGTTCTCCAAAGCTGAGGGAGATGTTTGGGTTCTCCAAAGCTGAGGGAGATGTTTGGGGTCTCCAAAGCTGAGGGAGATGTTTGGGGGTCTCCAAAGCTCAGGGAGATGTTTGGGGGTCTCCAAAGCTGAGGGAGATGTTTGGGGGTCTCCAAAGCTCAGGGAGATGTTTGGGGTCTCCACATTCTCAGGTGGGACAAAGCTGAAGGAGATGTTTGGGGTCTCCAAAGCTGAGGGAGATGTTGGGGTCTCCAAAGCTGAAGGACATGTTTAGGGTCTCCAAAGCTGAGGAGATGCTGCAGGTCTCCACTCTCCCAGGTGGGACAAAGCTCAGGGAGATGTTTGGGGTCTCCAAAGCTGAGGGAGATGTTTGGGGTCTCCAAAGCTGAGGGAGATGTTTGGGGGTCTCCAAAGCTCAGGGAGATGTTTGGGATCTCCAAAGCTGAAGGAGATGTTTGGGGTCTTCAAAGCTGAGGGAGATGTTTGGGGTCTCCAAAGCTGAGGGAGATGTTTGGGTTCTCCAAAGTTGAGGGAGATGTTTGGGGGTCTCCAAAGCTGGGGGACATGTTTGGGGTCTCCACATTCTCAGGTGGGACAAAGCTGAGGGAGATGTTTGGGGTTCTCCAAAGCTCAGGGAGATGTTTGGGGTTCTCCAAAGCTGAGGGAGATGTTTGGGGTCTCCAAAGCTCAGGGAGATATTTGGGTTCTCCAAAACTCAAGGAGATCTTTGGCTTCTCCACCCTCTGAGCTTTGATGGACCCAAACCCCGAGGAACCTGCGAGGTTCTCAGGTGTCCCCCAGCGCCCAGGTGACCCCCAGGTGTCCCCGGGCAGGTTTTTTGGGGTCCCACCTGTCAGCATGTACTGGTAGGCGTTGTCGGAGATGGAGAAGATGTGGGGCGGGACCTCGTTGCGCTTCTTGCCCCGGTAGGCGGCCACCACTTGTGGGTCGTAGACCGGCAGCCACTTGTAGGGGTTGACGGTGACGCAGAAGAGCCCCGAGTAGGTCTG